TTGTGAACGACCTTGGAATTTTATTTTTTGTGTTTTTGACCTGGACAAGAAGAACCCGCCCATGGTTCTCGACATCAGTAGTTGTTATGTTTGCCAACTCTTGACGTCTACATGCACCATTTATACCGAATATTAATACAACCTGAAAAGAGATAAAAAGAACGTATAAACACCTATATTGTAAAGAAATACGAAAGTGAAAGAAATTAATAACAATAATTTAGTTTCAACTGACCTTTGTTGCCAAATATCGCCAATCCGGAACTTCTTTTAGGAACTTCTTGATATTGTCAGCCGAAAATACTTTTGACTTTTTACTTACATGGCCATATGAGCGTCTTTTTAGAAATGCTATCAAGTTCGAGTATGACTTGATATCAATACCATGGTTTGTTTTCATAGTGCTTTTTATTTAGCATTGAATAGTGGCACCACAATGAGCTTGACTTATATTTTTGAGAAAGTTCCATGAAATAGGCTTAAAACACATTTTCTGAAAATGAATTTGCATCTTTGCTTGTTTCCCATATGATGAAATTCTGATACGCTTGTAAGTATCTATCGGTCGATTTTTCAGGTAAGAGGCTTAGAATAGCCTTTTTCGCTGCGTTTAAGACTTGTGGCGGTGTCAAATTAATAAATTCATCACTACTTGACGACATTTTCAAATAAAAACAATACAGCGAAAAGAAAAAGCGAGCGAAATAATTTTTACTTGTTTTTTTAATTTATTAAGGCTTTGGCAAAGCCATCAGCCTAAACATGAAGTTTAATTATTTAATTATGTTTCTGTAAATATGGCCGCCACAAAGGGCAATTTGAGGCGGCGTGTTTGGATTGACTCGGGATTCCTTAGAACGGGCCGATACGGGTATTTAAGTTCGAGATTCGTATAATTTCGCGTTTTAATCTTGGATCAAGGCACAATAGCACTATCCTATTCCACTTTAAACTAGATTTCACAAAATAATTGAAAGTCAAAATAAAAACCGACACTTTTCCCTCCAAAAGGTCCAGAGCGAATCCATTTTTACTTGTCCACAAATTAGCCATGCGCGCGCATCAACTTTTTTTTTAGGCAAAGGTATAAAAATAGCCAGTATTACTAATAAAGTAAATTAATATTTTTGTGTTTTTGTTACAGATAAATGGTTGTAATTCATTGTCAAAATTAATTAAATGAAAGAATTAAATGTTTATTTACTATATTTTATCTCCCAAAGTTAATTTTATTCATAAAATATTGACCACTTTTCTAACATAAAAAGTCTTTGCAAATATTTAAAAAAGTATCGTTCATTTTTAGACAGAGCATCTTAAAAAACCGTGCATGTTACTTTATTAAAAAAAAAAACTCGTGCATTTTACATTACAATAACGCACTTGTGCGTTTTACATTACAATAACGCACAAGTGCGTAATGAAATACATTACGATATTGAAATTGGTGTGATTTCAGCCACTTTACGAGCAAATATGTTATAAAAAATAAAACAAAACTTTAGATTTGTCATTTATATCCATGTTTAAAATTAGACCTATTCTGTTCAAGAATTTAAACAAATTTTCATTCCCTTGGTATATATAATAAAGGCACATGTAATCGAACGTCAAAATGTGCTTTTAAGTCACGAAATCATACAAACGACATGAAACAAATTATGTATATCTTCAATTTTATTAGTCTCCTATTTAAGTATAAACATGTTATTTACTAATTTCGTTCGTAGAAGCTTAAAACCTCTCTCCTGAAAAGTTTTTATTTTGCAAATGTGGTCTTATTACAACAAGAGAACGTTTTATTGCAGAGCACACCCCAAGTGCGCCAATTTTTCTTGCCTGGCATGAACGTATTTTGTTATAAAGTAAAATTACCGATTACATAATTTCTAATATTTACATAAACTTTTTTTTATAGTATTACGTGACGGGACGAACAAGCCATGCACCTGATGGTAAGCCACACCTGTCTGTAACAGTTGCAGTGTCACTCAGCTCTTTAAATTGCAAAGATCTGATCACCCTTACCCTTCAGAACCGGAACACAGTAATGCTGACATTACTGCTTGGCGGCAGAAATAGGTAAAGTACTTCCTAACGTCTTCATTAGGGTTTTGATCTTATCTTTATATTTGTGTCAGTTAATCTTTTGCAATGTAGATAAATACTTAGAAAAAACACGAGCGTGTCACGGCTTACTTAACCTTTACCGAGCCGAAACGGACGCTGGTAATTTATCGACAATATTGACCTAAAAATATGGTGATTTCACCGTCATGGCTGAAATCCGAGCAATTGGGCCAAATATTTTCATGCCAACCTTAGATTAGTTGGTAATATGTTTTCACAATCGTCTGCATAGAAGATTTTTTTATTATATGTAGATCCGTTTGTAGGATAAATTGTAGGATAAAACTTACTTGAAAATAACTGAAATTTAAATATAGTGCGGAGTACCACTTACAGAAATAGTTTGTTCTTGTTTTTTGTTTATTTATTTAATTAATAATTAATTATTATGATCTAAATTTTTATAATGGTTTTGATAAATTTCATAATAATTATAATAATTAATGATACAGCTTGTATACGAGATGAATAATTAGTTAGTTATTATCATTGTAGTGCCCTTACAGGGTTCACGTGCACGAGGAATGAATGAATTATGAATTCATAACATTATATAACAACAATATAACATTGCGGTATGATGGAGAGGGACTCTTCGATGGTTTGGTCATGTAAAAAGAATGAATGTTGGTAGATTGAGAGCAAAAATTTATAGAACGAATGTGGATGGAGGTGCGGTGAGAGGTAGACCTCGGCGAACATATCTCAAGCAGATTGAGGATGTCCTTAAAAAAGGCCGAGTTAAAAGTATCAAGAATAAACGGGCATGTATGAAGAGATTGATGGGAGTGGAGGAGACGAAGGTTTGTCAGGAGCGTAGCAAGTGGAGGCCCACAGTTTTTGCCTACCCCGGCGGGAGACAGGCGTGATGATATGTATGTATGTAATAACATTATTATGTTAATGTGCGCTATTGTGTAAGTGAGGATTGCACACTTCTTACCGCTTTACTCTTTTTACTATACTTCATATTATAGGTAGGTATTTTTATATTTATTTTTTTATGTGTTAATTTTTACGTTAATTTAGTTATATGAAAATGATAATGTGGGCAACTGCAATTGGCGCTAGTTAGCTATAAATTGTTATATATTAAGCTGTTGTTTTTCCGAATAAAATAAAATAAGGCACATTCACTGTTGTCTTCAAAATCTGAAGATATAGCGTTCAGGAAATATCTGTAGGCAGAGTAGATCTCATAACCATTCGCCATATTAATTTAATTTATTTTAAATAAACTCTCATTCAATAAAGGCCTTAAACTAAGGATACCTGTAATATGAGGACAATCAATCAATCACTTCTCAGAACACCCAGATTGGAACCAATGTATAGTTCATTTCTCAATATTTTTCTGCCGGGAATCGAACCCGAGACGATATTTATTATTCAATTATGTTTGTGAAATTATTCCACTATACTTTGTTATAATTATTAATACAAAGATTCTTCTGTAAAATTCTTCTGCTTGTGCTTGTAATAGATTTTTGTTCTTTTTTTGTTTTAACGACTCTTTTTGTTCTAAAAACAAATATCTGCAACAAGTACATAGAGTAACGGCTGATTCACGTTGTTCACATTAATTACAACGCACCGAATCCGGGTCGTCACAGTACCGTGTTGTTTCCACCGTGTGCCCGACGGTTTTATTTTTTTGTTATTTTCCATTTTTCTTTTAAGTGATAAGGTTGTATTATTAATGGAATTTTCACAACTTGAGTTAGCAGCTATTGCAATAGCTCTTGATGACGAAGTATTGGAAACACAAATTGAAACTAGAAAAGAAGATAGTGTGTTCATCCTGTCTGGAGGAAACGAGAATTCGAAAGAGAATTTGACACGCTCTACAAAGATTTAATTATTAGAGCAATTTGCGCTTGCGTTGTCCAATACACTATAGTCCAACGTTGACTCCCTTCCGGGTGCCCGGCGAATGCATTCATATTACGACGTATTACGATCGAGCAAGGTTGGAACCGGGAAAAAAATACTCGACGCCGTGTCCCGACTCGGCCCGGTCTAATGTGAAGTTCATACAAAAAAATATTTGACCGTGTCACGGTCGACGCACGACTGGAGCACGGCCCGACCCCGGCACTGTATAACATGAGTCAGCCTAAATTCGTAAGTTCAGCTGGTTCGTTTCGTAGCTCAGTTGGGAAAGCGTTATCCATGCTATGGCGAGGTCGCAGTCTCGAGTCCAGTTGAAACTAAGGATTTTTTCTTTATGTTGAGTCTTTGTATTCATAATTATAGTTAAGTGAATGAATATACTTTGTGTTGCAAAACAGTGAGATCTCTGTTAGTACTTATTTTTAATGAATTGATCAATTGAATTGATTTACATGACAACAAATAACTTCTTGTTTTCATGAGCACAATTACGTATCCCGTTCTCCCGTGAAGGAAGAAACACTCTACTAGGACTAACTGACCTACATTAAAACAATTTTAAGTCTAAATAATCGAGTTCTTAGATTTTCACGATTGTGACATATAGGAAATTAAACTATTTTCCAGATCTAAGAGCGTATATTTGTTTTTTTTTTTTTCAAACAAATCAACATTACGGGCCCTTTACAGGCGGCATGAGCACGGCTGATTAAAACAAAACGTTGGTTTGTTTGAAAAAACGAAAATATATTATTACACGCGATTTAGATCCGGAAAAGAATAGTTTTATTTCCTAAGTGTAAAATTATGTTTTAAGTATTCATGGTTCCGATTGGTCATGATTTTTGAAACACCCCGTATACAAAAGAGTTCCTAATCTTTACAAAATGTAGTTTAATTGTTATCAGTGATTCTTGGGAACTGCAATATTAAAGTGGAACAACGAGTAACTCTCTGAATCATATCCTTGCCCTCCATTTGTCCTCAACAAAGTAAAGCCCCGGGATCCGAGTGTTTCCTATAAAAAGTACACATGAAGTGACTTCATGTCAGTCGTTGTCACAGTACAGTTCCTTAAATAGTAATATTCAAAATGTTAAAAGTAGTTTTATTTGTAGCATTCTTCTGTGCTGTTAATGCACATGTTACAGTTAACGTTTTTAGTGATGGTAAGTAAATAAGTGTATGTTTTATCTTCTTCCGTGGTTATGAAATCTGCATCAACGCACCATCATTCTGTATTATCTTCATTATATTTAAAAAATAAATAAACTAGCTGTTCTTGACAGTTGTCTTCATGAAGTGTCAAGGGGCAATGTATACGCTTCTACAATAAGATTCCGATTGATATTCAAAATTTGCCATTTACGAGGTTTAACTATTGTTGAACAAAAACTTTATACTAAAGCACGGTTTGTTTGAAAAAACAAATGTATGCGATTTAAATCCAGAAAAATAGTTTTATTTCCTATGTGTAACAATCGCGAAAACCTAAGAACTCGATATGTTTTATATTAAAGGTTATTATACAACTTTTGCGTGCTGGGATGACAAAAATCCGTGGTGGTGACCCGTTTAGCTCTTTTAGCTATTCTCGGTCTAAGGCATTTAAATCAAATATTGTAATGTTAAATGTATTCAAATGTATATTTACAAAGAGCAACCCCTAGAGTTTCTTGCTCATACTTCTCAGGGATATCTGCCTTACAAATGAGCAGTAGAGTTTAATCAGTATGATGATTTCAAGTGTAATTTGCTTTCCTATGAAATAAACATTATTTGACTTCGACTTGACCTTGACTTTGACTTATTTAAGGGCTAGGCTCTAGACGGTGTCACAGATTTCAATGTGTCCTTAACCTGCTTCTAGCTGGTCACTTTAATCTTCTTCTTAATTTATACTATTATACGCCTTTCTTGGTTTTCCTCTCAACTACCTTCCTATTATCATTCTCACAAATTCGTCATTTTGCGACAAATATGCCCTAACGTTTTACCCCTTCTGTTTTCTATTGTATTCAAAAGGTTTCTTTCTTCCCTAAGGGCGCGTTCCCATAATGTCGTGATGACAGATGGTCGTGCAGTTTAAGGTGTCGTGGATTGTATTAAATGAAGTTATTCACGTATAGGACAACACGATTAACTGTCGTTCACGACTTTTTTGACGTTACGACGACAAACTGTCGAGACAGTGGGAAAAGCTAGAACGACAATAAATACAACGTCACGATAAAAATGTGACGACAAATAAACGCAGCTTGAAACGATTCTGTCGTGCAACCGACTAGACGGCTGCCGTGAACCGATAAACAGTCGTCACGATCTAGAAGGAACAGTAAGACACGACAATCGTTCAACGATAAAATAAACGTCCACGACACAGTCACGCCAGATTGTCGTGGTAAGGCTAGACGCGACAGTCTTCCAACGATAAATAAAACGTTACGACATAATGGGAACACGCTCTAACCCGTGTCGTCAGTGTCCAGCAATCGCCAAATTCGCCAATCCAGGCTCAATGCGTGCGTGCTGTTTTGTAAACATGGATATTTGTAAAATATTAACAACCTCACAGGACTATTATATTACTAACATCATAAACAACAACTTTTGTTCTATGAGTTTTTACAAAACATAATAAATTTACCGAAAATAACCTTTTAAGTTTTTACTTTATCTACTATCTGGCATTTTTTAGATCTGTATGTGGTAATAGTAAGTTCAAACATGTAAGCATCTTCCCCGACGACCCCAACCCCCGTTCTTGCATTTTGCATCGGTCTGAAATTTACACTAGCGCTTTCTTTTGCTAAGGCTTGAGAAATATATTCTCATAACAATTTACAATTCATTTAAATGAGAACTTATGTAAGTAAATAAAGCGTTATAAGTATATTCTGCATACGCGAGCGTGTTGGATTCTTACCTAATAACTATTGTTTACTTAGAAAGATAAAAAAAGAATTAGGCTACAATAAAAAAAAAACATAAAAATAAACAAATTTGATCATGACATTTTTGTTTTCTTAATGTGAATATATTTGAAACATTACAACAAAAACCCAACCAGTTTTTGTTTGTTTATTGAACCAACAAAGATGTGGTAACTTTTCAAGTGCAGATTTATACGTACTAGTAATTAGTACAAACTGCTTTACGTGTTGTTGCTTATTTGATTATTTTGGTCGAATAATAGTTATTTGTTATGCAAGGCTGCAAAGTTCTTAATTGACGCGAATGCTTGCATTGAAACCTGAGCAAGCGAAGGTGTCATCCTGAGCGTATTTAGGATTTCAAGGCACGAGACGCAAACAAACTTTGCTGCCGAGCGAAACACACAACTTTTCACCGACTCTAAAATTGAACTTCGACAAACGCTACTCCGACAATATGTTACATCGACATTACTTTACTCAGGCACTACGCTACTTCGACAACACAGACGAGATGTTTCTTAAAAAAAATCTTTGTACTCAGATAAGAAAAATTCTCAGTGTAAGGTATGTAGGAAATGGTTTCTTATTTTATTTCGATCAATATAATAAAACAAAACAAAATCAGATAATCGAGAAATAATTTCCTTCGCTTGCTCATGTTTCAATACAAGCACTCGTGTCAAACAACAACTTTGCAGCCTTGCATAACAAATAACTATTAACTTATTGAATTTATGCGTTTTTTTTTTAGTTTCTTTTATAATACTATGTAGGACGTGGTAGATTTTAGCACTTTCTTAATTAATATTCATTTTGCCCTAGTTTGACGTAGGTGGACGCAATACAAGTATACCTACTTGCATTTCATAGACGCTTCGTTTGAATATTTTCGTGTTTATATTTCCTTAGATATTATACTCTTCATATCAGCAAGCATGAATAATATTTATAAGTTGTAATAACATCGAATAATTTCGTGTCTTTATATAATTTTAGGTAGGGGTTAGATAATCGTAATTAAATAACCATTTAATAAAAGCATTTTGAGATATTTGTACTATATTAAGATTGATTTCAGCTGCCGAACCCCAGATTTCGTTAAAATAATCAAAGTGTGGCTTCGCCAATGTGTCATATACATAACAGTATACATTAACACTATATTGATTTTGAATAGTACGTTACCACCTTGACCACCCCTCTCTCGTGCCTCCCTTAAGTAACTTGTCATAATATGTCACACAAATTTGTTAGCAGAGGACCCTCAACTTGAATTGAAAAGTTGCAGCCCTCTCAATTGTGATCAGACGTGTCGTCGCCTTGGCTTCCCTGGTGGCGTCTGTGTCAATGGCAAATGTAAATGCGACATCATCAAATCTGCAGGTAGGTAATACGATAATTTCTTATACTAATTGTGTGAGAACTGAAACAAAATATTACTTTTTAATGGACTTCAAGAAAATGACGATGTTAGCAATTCGAATGTACTTTTTTAACCGACTTCAAAAAAAGGGGGAGGTTCTCAATTCGACTGTGTGTTTTTTTGTGTGTGTATGTTACGCGAAAACTCCGGTATTTGTGAACCGATTTTCATGATTATTTTTTTGTTGGAAAGAGGGTACCTCCATAGTGGTTCCATTTAATTTTGAAGAAAATCATCCACCTTTAAGGCTGGCTGTTTACGCATGAAGATTCATTTATACAAGTAGCACCTAAATTTTATTTTAAGGAGCAATTATTTTAATGGCTGATTTTGCTATTCTCCAATTCAAGGCGTTTTTCTCTCAATATACTTTGATTAGTGAGAACCGATTTTTATTATACCTCTTGTGTCCATTCCCGTATAGTGGCAAACTAGGGGATGAATCCGGGTTTGCGCACTTTCCGGTAGCCGATTTCAAGAAAACTTGGTAATCATATGTAATTCCACGTACTTTTGAGGTCGGTTTTTTTAGTACTCTGTACTGAGATTATTAGTAAATCACGATCACTTGCAAAACTGCTTGGTACTTTAAGAGCTCTTATGAGTATAGCTGTCTCCAAATTTCTTTGTACGCCTTTTTCTGTGCTTCCTTTTACGACTTCCCAACTCTCCATCTCTCTTTAGTAGCAATAGAACTCCTTGAGAGGTCGCACTGCCCTGCCACCGCTAACACAGGAAGCACTGCCACCTTACCTATTTCTGCCACCAAGCAGTAATGTCAGCATTACTGAGTTCCGGTTTTGAAGGGTAAGGGCGCTGGTGAAATTACAAGCTACTGGAACTTGTCAACGTATGTCTCAGGATGACGGGCGCAGTTACAGTGCTCCTCAGATCTTTGCGATTTAAATGTCTGAGTGGAACTGCAACTGTTATGGACAGGGGTGTAGTTTATTATCAGGCACACGACTTGTTCGTCCCGGCACTTAATATTATAAAAAAACATCTGTGCATGTAATACGTGAACCATGTAGTATGAGTGCTCCAGCATAATGTAAACTGCCTCCGTGGCCGAACGGTAACCATGCCGGACTGCCACGCAGAGATCCCAGGTTCGATTCCCGGGCCGGGAGAAATATTTGTATGGCCTACATTTATTTATCTCGTGAGTTTGGGTGTAATTTGTGGTTGTCTATGTGTGTGTCCATGGAACCCGCGACACAGGGTTTCCCTAGTGTGGGGCTACGTTGAGTGTGTGCGTTATTTATTGTTTATAAAATAATATGTTTTTATTAAAAATTTCAATTTTTTTTTAGAATTTTCTAACGTGCTCAAAATCGTTCTTCCTTTTTTAACAGAGGATCCTGTAGTGGAAGTGAAAAGTTGTAGCCCTAGTGCTTGCGCCCAAAATTGTCGTCACATTGGCTTCCCTGGGGGTACCTGTGTCAATGGCAAATGTAAATGCGATATCATTAAATCTGCAGGTAATTATCACGATGACTTCTTGCCCTAATTGAGTTAGACTGCAAACAAATATTACTAGAAAGCGTAAGGCACTAGAAAATATGTTCTACACTTGTGATATTTAGCATGTCTTTTGCTATTGCAGCATTGCGAGAAAATTGTATCAAAATTTTGATTTGGATCCTATGTATAGTTAAGAGTCGATATAACCTTGAATGACCTTGGTTGATTCCGCATAACAGTGAAAGTGTTGAATCAGTCACTTTGGACAAAATATATAGTAAAATTGAGGAGATACTCTAATTACTATACGGTGTGAAAATACGATTCCGAAACATTTTCACGAGAGACAAAAAACATAAACTTACCTCGAAATTTTACAAGAAAGCCGCTGTATTCAATAGGTACTTGATATATACCAATGATTTTTCTATTATGCCAACTGCACTAAATAGAACACGTATCGTATACGATATACATTTTTCAAATGGCTTTAATTTCGCCGCTCGACCCAAGCAAAATGAACCGTATAAGTACGAGAAAAATTTGAATTCGAGGTGAGCTAATAACGACTCTTTAAGGCAGTAAGTAGTAAGAGATGATTTCTGGGGTTTGTAGCATCTGAACCCGAGGTTGGTTTAAAGTTGCAACGGAACCCGACTGAGCCCAAATGCGAGTATCGTGTGTTCCCGGGTGTGATTGCTTGTCAAAAATAATGAAATTTGAATTGCATCCATTCCCGAGTTCAGTAGCACTTCGATTAAACTTGTATCGTCTGAACCTGAGTTATGTATGTAGAATCGTACCTTAAAACATATTTTCGAACAATAATCAGTTTCCTTAAAAAAATATTTTATCGAAATAGTGTTCGAAAACAAGCTTCACAATGCGTCAATATAATATAGCAACAAAATGTACCAACATCTATCGAAAATGAATTCGGGTTCTGACGATACAAATTTAAATGTCATTTCTCGAGGTGCAACTGAACCCGGTACTGGATGCGACTCAAATTTAATTATTTTTGACAAGCAGCCAGTCCTGGGATTACACGATACTCACATTTGGGCTCAATCAGGTTTCGTTGCAACTTTAAACCGACCCCGGGTTCGGACGCCATAAACCCGATTTCTGTATGAATTCGTCAAATTCCAAGTGCCTTTCAAACACTTGTAAACATTTAGAAACTAAATGTCAAAATCAGGATATAATAGAATACTCGTCGCTTTACCGCTCATCGGTGCGAACGGTCACGAGTTTGTCTTTCACTTAGACTGTTTAATTATGTGCTTAATAGAACTATTCTGGGTAGGCATGTTGCTTACCACTAGGCGCACGACTTGTTCGCTTCATTTCTTCATAATAGTGAAAACCCGTAAAGAGACCGAAACGGTGGTTTGTTTGAAAAACAAATATACGCTATTTAGATTACTCATTTATGCCGTCAAGCAGTAATGCGAGCATTATTGCGTTCCGTTTTTGCTGGTGAAATTACAGACCATGGAACTTGTCAACTTATGTCTCAGTGTGACGGACGCAATAACAATATCCCTTAAATCTTTGCGACTTTAAACTCTGTGGCATTGCAACTGTCATCGATAGACGTGTCGCTTACGATCAGGCGTACAACTTGTTCGTGCCATCACTTGATAAAATATTAGTCCTTTAATGGATTCTAATGTCTTTCTTTCTTTGTTTTTTTTCTTTACTCTCATATACATTCATGTTCTATTTCACGCCCTTTCATTTTTATTTTTGTCTCCATCTATCTCTTCACCAAATTTATCAATATTGGTTCAGCAGTTTAGGCGTACACGTAACAGACAGATTTACTTTCACATTTATAATATTAGTTTGTATAAGAACCTATACTTACCTTTACATTATTTAGACAAATAAACAAATTGATTCTTTTTCCTGTCCTTGTCTCATGCTAGGTGGTGTCGGCACAACATTCTTCCAACCTCCCCTTTTAGCCGTCATTTCCATATTCGCACCTTTCTTATAAATAAATAGATTGATTGTTTAATATTTTCAGATAATATAAAAACTAGTGATCTAGCGTTTTCATGCAACGGCCTGTCTTGCTTCCGATTTTGCACAAGTATGGGATTTTTAGGTGGCAACTGTGTGGGAGACCAGTGCATGTGTCATGGAAAAAAAGGTACGGTGAATTTTCGCGTCATTTTTATGGAATTAAAGGGAAAAAAGCATTGTCCTACATAAATAATACTATCCATGCAGTGAAATCTGCAATGGGGCTGTGTGGTAGATAATGGATTACGTTGGGTCTTTAAAAGGAAGTCGACTTATTTATTTATTTTTTATAATACCAAGTGACGGGAGGAACAAGTCGTGCGCCTGGTGGTAAGTAACCCGCCTATCCATAACAGTTGCAGTGCCACTTAGGGCTTTTAATTACAAAGATCTTAGGAGTACTGACACTGCGCCCGTCACCCTGAGACATAAGTTGACAAGTCCCATGTGCCTGTAAATTCACCAGTACCCTTACTCTTCCAAACCGTAATTCTCACATTACTGCTTGGCGGCAGAAATAAGTAAGATGGCAGTACTTCCCTGGACGAACTCTTTCACAGGGAGCTCTACTACTCTACTAAGACGCTCCTTAAGGAATATCTCCGTTAATCAAATGTACATATCTATATACTTATTTTAAACAATTAAAATTAAAAAAAAGTGACAATTATTTTTCCATTAACCAATAATATAATTAAATAGGGGCAGTAAATTTGTAATGACAATGCAATATTGACATCCTAGACATGGCATAAATTAAATACTTTGACATAATTGTAACCGTAGTAACTGCCTCCGTGGCCGAACGGATACCATGCCAGACTGCCACGCTGAGTCCCAGGTTCGATTCGCGGGCCGGGAGAAATATTTGTATGGCCTACATTTATTTCTTTCGTGAGTTTGGATGTAATTGGTGGTAGTCTCTGTGTGTGTCCATGGCACCCGCGACACAGGGTTTCCCTAGTGCGGGGCTATGTTGAGTGTGTGCGTTTTAATAAGAGATTGTAATGTAATATTCTGAAAGAAACCATAATTTACAATATATTTTTTTATGAGAATATTTGGTTATTATTGGTAGATTTTTTATGATGCCATGTAATATTTACTGTACACCAATTGTTTGATACCGAAGAATCGCACAAATAAACATTTTCATGTCATTTCATTTCACCATTTAGCAATACGAATGTTGTGCTTAATATTTTATAATAATAATAATCGAGTCTAAAATAAACATTCACAATAATAATAATGTACCTACCAGACAACCACACCAATTGCCTGGTCTCAAACTAGCATGTTCCCTAAACTATGAGTAACAGAGCAAGGAATCCACTCTGGGGCACTTCCCAAAACACCCAGATCAGAATCTGGGCGACCTCCGTGATCGAGTGACTTGTAAACCGGTTTTCATGGTGTCGCCATTTCGGAGGTCTCGTATGCAATCCTCGGCCGGATCAATGTAGAAAAACTAACTTTTCTATATTATTTCGGGTCTGGGTGTACTTTGGGATCGGAGCAAAGTATGTGATGTTGAATAATATTTATAATTATATTATTAGAAACAATTCAGAATAGTTCATTTTCCAAATTGTTCATATCGGGAGCTCCTCATCCGACGGCCACATTGCAAACCGTTGGGCCACCGAGGTAGTCAATATTATTACCATAATAATTATCTTGGTAATATTTTATGACTACCGAATTATAATTACGCTACATGCGGTACATTTTTTAAAGTACCATGTAATCATGATAAAGTATTTAGGTGTTATATTAGATGACATCCTATCCTTTAAACACCATATCGAAGCACTAAGCGCCCGACTCCGTAAGTTAATGTTTGTGTTTAAAAAACTACGCGTTTCTGCTGATTTTAAAACAATCAGGCAAGTTTATTATGCATTATGCCAATCATTAATTACTTACTGCATTACATCATGGGGTGGTATAGCTAAAACTACTTTACTAATCATTGAAAGAGCCCAGCGAGCTGTCCTAAAGGTTTCTACCTACCGCCCTTTCCGTTACCCCACTGACCTTCTGTATAAGTCATGTAAAGTATTAACTGTAAGGCAATTATTCATTAAGTCCACAGTCCTCAAACAGCACGTATTGCTCCCATATATTACTGAAAACACTAATAAAAGACGAAAAGATATTGTCTGCCCCAAAATTATATCATCAAAACATACTTTTATTTCAAGATTTTTTGTGTTCCTTGGACCATTTTTGTACAATAAATTAAACGCCAAATATTCCATTTATAATTTCTGTTGCTTTAAAGTAAAGAAAATTCTCCAAGAAGCTCTTCAAAATATGTCCTATGAGGATACAGAGAATTTATTTATTATCGTAAATTAATGTTGTCTTGTTTAAGTGTACATTTTTTATTTTTTTTTTTTTTATTTTTTTATTGGCAATTTATTATTTAATTGTTTAATTTTATTTCATAAGATTCTCCTAAAAAGTATTTATAATATTAATAGTATCCACATTTATAATTAGTAGTACTTTTTACCTGAAATACAGGAATTTCCTAGTTCAGGTACATGTGTTATTTTTACATTAAATCGCATAAGTAGTCTTTAGTTTTCTCTGTACATTATGTTACTGAATAAACAATTTTATTATTATTTTTTTATTATTTTTTTATATTCATTTTACTTTTTTGAAGTAAAAAAGGCCGATAAAGGAAGTTTAAAGTGAAGTTTAAAATTCTCAATTTTTATATTGATTTATTCACAAGTAAAATAGTTTACAAAAAAGGAACAAAAAACAGAAAATTATAAGCACTAAAATATTTATGTATCGCTGCCATCATCAGAAAAAATAATATAAAATACTTATGCGCAAATTACGCTGCTTACGCTTAAAACTGTTAAATTTCACAATTTAACACATACATTGTTCTATGCAGTAATTAACATTTTCCTGGTTTACCAGACGTTTATCAAGAACGTCACTTGGCATTTTTTACGAGTAATGGTTGTAGAATTATTATTTTGTTTTTCAGATATCACTAGCAACGAAATGCCTACAGTGGACAATGATCTACATGCAGAAGGTATTTTTTTAAATACTACAAAACCACCAAATGCTTACGTTCCTCAAAGCGGACATACTACTTGTATATTGAAATGTAGTAAATGTTTAACACAGTACACATAATTTCAGTACAGAGTACTAACAAAACCGACCTCAAAAGTACGTGGAATTACGTCTATTTGCTAAGTTTTATTGAAATATCTTTAAATTCGCCACTGTACAGGACTTGACACTGGAGATAATAAAAATCGGTTCTCACTACTCAAAATATATTGAGAGAAAAACGCCTTGAATTGGAGAAATAGCAAAATCAACCATTAAAATAATTGCTCCTTAGTAAAATTTAGGCGCTATTTATAAAAATTAATCTTCGTGCGTGAACAGCCACCCTTAGAGGTGGATGATTTTCTTCAAAATGAAATGGGACCACCATGGAAGTACCCCCTTTCCAACAAAAAAAGAACCATGAAAATCAGTTCACAAATACCGAAGTTATCGCGTAACATACATACAAAAAAAACATAGAGTCGAATTGAGAACCTCCTCCTTTTTTGAAGTCGGTTAAAAACAGAAACAACTACACAATCTTAACTAAAGTAGTTAAGATTGTCGGTTTGATTCTTGATACCAATGCAAGTCGCACCCTTGATGTAATAAGAACTCATCTGGAAAATGATAACTTTTTAGGAGAGAGGTTTAAAGATTCGACTTATTCCCATCTGATTCCCTAAAACTGATACCCTAGGGGATCCATTTTATTGTAATTTATTTTTATTCCCAACGGATTCCTAATGCAGGGATCAAGAATAAATATTAATATTTTATTCCCATCTGATACCCTGCTACTTACCACTTTTAGTTTTGGTAGGTAATGTGGTACAATCAACAAAGAAATGTCTTTAAGGGTTGTACTGTATCTTGTTTAATATATTAGAAATGAACAACAGTAACTGTACTAATGTGTACTTGTATTAACGTTGATTTTAAAACTTCTTTTTCTCTTGACTGTACTTACCTTACATTTGTAAGATAAGTTCACAGAGAGGGGATCCTTTGGGAGTTGCAAAACATGGAGGGGATCAGTTGCAATTTAACATTGGCGGTGGATCAGTTTTGGGGATCAGATTGGAATAACGCAAAGATTCTACGTAATGATAATATTTGACCTCCATGTCACGTGATGGAAAATGACCATCGGGTCGACTATGGAGCTTGCACACCTATATAATGCCTATTCATTTTCGTCTTGAATAGGTCTAGAATTAAATCATTCAAGACACAAATTTGCAGGCAGGGAATTCCATTCCAATGCTGTACACCATAGAAATGTGAAAGTGTGACGTTTCGTGTGAATGTTAGGTATATGCACAACATGGGAGACGAACCCTAGTCTATATCTGAAGAAATTTACAAGATTCGTTTTCTAACTTACAGGCGCAGAATCACCATTGCCGTTAGAAACTTCACAACAAATGTCAGTAAAGAAACCAAAGTGTGTCTTCAAATATTGCCTCCAAGCTTGTGTATTATATGGCTATATCTCTGGATACTGCGATGCAAACGATACCTGCAAATGTGTTAAATAAAGTTTTAAATCCGATAGCAATCCGTTTTAAAAATTGAATTGGTAAGGATTCAAAAAGTTACACTTGTATTGCTAAGTTAACTAATTTGACAAGACGTAAAAAGACATAACAACGCAAAAATTCGTTTTCTTCTGTCAAATTACTTACCCAATTTAAAAACTTTAAATAAGTATAGTCCGCACAAAGTAAAATAGATACTACTACTACTGTATGTATTTAAAATTAAACTTATTTTTTCCGGATCTAAGTCACGTATTTTTTTTTTCAAACAAACGTTCGGACCCTTTACATATCTCATGGACATGACTTGCTGATATGATAAAGTTATCAACCACTTATGTCTAATATTTTTTTTATAACACCAAGTGACGGGACGAACAAATCGTGAGCCTCTGTGAGCATAAAGTTAAGCAGCACTCAGAACCTTAAATCACAAGGATCTGTGGAGCACATACACTGCGCCTATTAATGTAGTGGTTTCTAACTTTAATAGAGTGGTGTGCATTAATATTAGACATAACTGGTTGGCGACTTTACCATCTCGGTCAGCCGTAACCGTGGGACTTGTTGAGAAGAAAAAGGCTCGAACAGTTGGTTTATTTGATAACAAATATAGACGACAGAGATCCGGGAAAAAGTAGTTTCATTTCCTATGTGTAGCAATAGCGAAAACACAAGAACTAGGTAATACTGTTACCAATGTCATTGTATGCTTTTGTAATAAAGATGTAATAAAATTTTAGCAGTCTGTTATTTTAACGGCCAATATGAAGGGAAAGACACGCACTCCTATTTCTACTGCCTAATTTACATAATATTTTAGCTTAATACTACGTGCGGCGCACTATAAGTTTCCGGAATGAATAAGAAAAAAATACTATAAATGGTCAGAAATGAATTTATTGTTTCTCAAAATATTCTCCGTTAGCGTTAATGCACTTTTTCATGCATACATTCATAAGCATGGCATTACACCAAGTGCCGCGATCCATTTTTTGAGCATCAGATTTTTGAGAGTCAAATTGTGTGGGATTCACCGAGAGCACAGCTTTTTCACACCCAAATGTTTGTGCAGTATTGATTGTATTTGACTCATGCCTATGTCACATGCCTGTCTGTTTTGATCATACGGCACACAGCATCGATGTTTTTGTTATTCACAGCAGCAGACAGGCGACCATCACGTAATTTGTCACTGAGATTCACACAACCGCGTTTGAATTCTGCAAACCAGCTACAAATAGTCGTCTTGTATGGTGTTTCATCCCCAAAAGCAGTGTGAAGCCGAGCAAAGCTCCGCTAAGCTGTTAAATTACACTTGAAGTCGTAGAAAATCATACTACGAAAATTTTCACGAATTAAATCCATGGTGATGTAGACAACCAATTTCTAAATTGACGCCATAATGTAAAACAAGTGACAGTCAGATGAATCAAACTCTATTCTACAGCCAAAGAGTTCCATTTTCAAACGTTGTAATTACTATTTAAATATTGTTTATGTAAGTGGTCAGTTACGGAAACTTATAGAGCGCCCTATGTATATTCTTTATTTTGACATGAACTGAACAATGTCCATTGTACTGCCTTAATTTATTGTTCACTTTATTACCTACAAAAGATACAAACCTGGCGACCTAACGTTCAGTCACCAGTCTCTGCAAGGCTTTTGTTACCTATTTACTATATAACAGTATTATCTAATGTTTATAAAGAACAACTTGGTACAAAAAATAGAGTTTTTTTTTTTTTTTTTTTTTTTTTTATTGCGACTCGACAAAATGACTGCACCGCGCCTGATGGAAAGTGCGAATACAGTCCAGAGATGAGAGTAACGGATGGAAAACACAAATATCTTCACTCCGTCACTATCATTTTGCCGGTCTGGCCAAATGCACGGATGTACACCAACTGATCCCTGAACGCGATTCGCAAAAGCGTTTCACTGTGGAGGGTTTTCCGCCGTGTGTACTGTGGTCGCTATCCAGTCGGCACAGAGCCTACCACAATGCTAAGCAGATGGACACTTGTGACGCCCTCGGTCGCCTCTTACGACCCCCACGGGCATGTATGGGGAGGCGACAATGTATTCTTAAGCCGTCGCCCCACGGCTAAAAAAAAAAAGTGTTTTTATTATGTTCCTCTAAACAGTTGCATCGGACCAAAACAGCTCAAGAAGTTGATGTCATTTCGCAAATTTTACTGTTAATAGTGAGGGCATCACCCCCGAAGTACACGTGGTCGTACACTCGATGCCCTAAAGTACCTAATCCCATAACCAACCATTTAGTTCCGAGTAGTCAAATGTGAAGAAGTGTTAAATAAAATTAACCTTTATACTGAGAGCCCTAAAATTAATTTTGATATGACTTACTTATTGCACCATTAGAATGACTTGTTGAAAATTTCTTTTTTTAAACAAGTTTAATATTTAATTACATTACATAAATACAAATTTTAACCATAAACCTGAAAATCTTTTACACTTTTTTTGTGTTATGTGTAACAAGGTTCTCAGAACCGAAAGGTCGACTTGGAGGTCAGATGTCTTAGGGCATACCTGGTACACGTAACGGATATAATCCCCGGTACAGTAATGCTGTTGAAAGATAAAAGAAAACAAAACTGGGTTATGATATTCATTCCATCAAGATGTACTCATATTATCTGGGCTAGAATTGATATTATAGGATGATATGATATCTCTCTGTTAATACAATAGTGTATTAACTCAAAAGGTGTATTTTTACTTACTTCTCGTGAAAGATTATTAAAATGTACGTCTAAAATGAAGTTAATTACAGACTTCTTTCATTTCATACTTTCTAAATACATTTAGAAATAAAAGGGAAAAAATAGTTTCTAATTTTGGAGTAGGTAAGGGTTTATCCAGAACCAGTTCACACAAAATTTATCTCGTTTTGAGTTAAACAGATATATTTTATTTGTTTCTTATAATGTTCGAAAAACGGTTTTAAGGACGTATAGAGAATTAAATTTTACGTTCAGCTATAGTTTCACCTTGAATTTACGTTTTTTGAGTTACAACGAAAACAAAAAATACGTTCTGTAAATGTCACTTTCAGCTTTAGACATCCTCAAAAGGTTCGTCAATCCAATCCAGTGGGTTCAATTGTCCTCTTATGTATAGACTTATTCCCCAATCTTTGATCTTTACGATAACCATCGTGTGGCGTAAGGACTGCCATCTGAGTTAAATGTGAGTGCCTGCACAAAGGCAGAGAATACCTTAAGAGGTCCTTGTGGCACTCCACGCTACGTCCAGGACTTTGAATCATTGATTTGGGGAAGTTCTCTTAATACGAGTTTGTTTCTTGTATTTTCACTGAGGACTTCGTTGCTAAATACAGTTACCTCGTATAACAGGATATGCCGTATTCTGTCGCGAGGCTTGCAAAATGTTGTCGAATATAGGCCATAGATTTACTGCAATTGTCAACCTTTGCGTGCCTGCTATGGACAGGCGTGTCGCTTACTGCCAGGCGCACGACTTGATCGTCTCGTTGCATCATAATAAAAAACCTAGCTTTCAAGAGTGGCAATGTCAGGATATTATTTTCTTTACTATTAGACTTCAAGAAATTCTAGGTAATCAGTGACTGATTACTTTTTAATTATAATTCAATTTTCAAACAGATTTTTAAAATTCTCAACCTCAATCAACCAATTTAAAATTAAAATTAAAATTCAATTTTGTAACAGATTTTTCCTCAATCAACTACTTGGAATACTTGAATCCTATTATTTTGTAATATTTTGAAAAGTTTTGTTTTTGCAAATTGTATACGGGCTTATTAGGAAAAGTTGGGCAGTACCACAGGTAAGTTCACCCTACGTAAAAGGTACTAGACATCTTTTATAACTACCAGAGTTTGATGGGTACACTCTATGTGTATTACTAGATAATACTCTGCTTTTTCCGATTTCTGGTAATAATGCTGACAAAATAGTGTATTCTTTTTTAAATTTCTCTTTGAAATAGATGGACTCAGTTTGTATGTAATAGTGGTATAGAAAAACTTCGCTATCAAAATCACAGTTATTAAAGAATTAAGCTACTTACTAACCGTAAACCCGAAATAATATGCAGATATAATATTTTAGTACATAAAAAAGGGACATTCAAGAGGTTTTTGTATTAGTACAATTAAATACGATAGATAATAATAACATTAATATGTTACTAGCCTCAGGCATTTGCTAAAATCCGCATTAATAAAAATGGAAGTAAATTTATTTGTTACTCCATGAACCCGGTGAAAGTAAATCGTGCAACAACTGAGCTAGTGTTGAGTCCTCCCTTCGCATAAATAACACAAGCGCAACTACAGTCACAAACACCACCATCAAAAAGATACTTTGGGTGTAGCGCAGCTATTTTGTAGCAAATGATGCAAAAGCTGCACCTTCACTGGGTTCGCAGAGTAGCAAATTCATTTACTTCCATTTTTATTGTTATTAACCTTTATTCGTCTGTCGTCATCGTCAACATCATCCTTTCTTTCATTCCCAAACAAGGTAAGGCATGTCTGTAAGTAGTTTGTTATTATTTCTACTTAAGCTCGTATAAAAGTTAATTTTTTTATGAGGTATGAGACTGTAAGTAAATATTTTTTTTTTATTTAAACAAGCCGTCCCCAAAAGTTTGTGAAATGACACCTATTTGCCATATTTTATTGAAATCGTTTAACAATAAGTGGGTGAAATTCAATAAACCGAAATCATCCCCTAATTTGCCACCCTTAGAGGCAGAATATTTTCTTCAAATTTAAATAGGTCCACTACTCCTTTCCCAAAAAAATAATCATAGATTCACAAATATCAGAGTTGCGAGTACTCTAACATACACACAAAAAAACAGTAGATTTGAGAACCATATTTTTTAAGGCAGTTAAAAACAAAATAATAATAATGTACCATTCAATTTTAAAAAAATGTCTCAACGTGGTCCTACCGAAAATCGAACCCGGACCTCCACATCCACACAGTGTAAACCGTACAGCCAGGCAGGTCGTCAATTTAGTTAGTAATTGCTATTTTATGGAACTTGTCGAAAAGTTTCTAATGACGAGAGTACTTCTAATTTTAACTATTTCGTGACAATTTGCGGATAGCCCCATATCTTTCTATGTTAGTTCTGATTGTAGTAATCCTCCCTACCAACCCTTAGGGTATACGAGAAGGGTACATAGCACCCTGTAACCTGTAGTACCTAAAGTAACCTGTGCTCTCACAGGAACCTTATAAATTCAGGTGCTGATCCCAGATCAGTCAGTGTATAATGTTGTTACAGACCTCTGTCACTTGACTTCTTCCGGTTCTCGAGAGGTTAGTGCCTTGGGTGAGCCGCCCCGGGTGCACGTACAGTACCCTCCCTATTTTCCAGATAGGTACCGGAGCTTAAAATAAATAATATTTGCAGCTTTGAAATATGGTTGGCTCTATACAAAATTTAAAAATTCAAATGACGTAGTTGAAAAACACAAATAATTAGGACAAAAAAAAATTAAGTCACGATTTTGAACGGTGGGGAGATACGAAATTTACCATTCAATTTGTAAAATTAAGAATGTTAATTATGAACATGAAATTTACTCTAATGTATCAACAATAAGGTGGAAAATAGATTGTGGAATATTGAACGAGGGAAACGTAATGATGAGAATATTTGTCTCACTCCCTGGTCCTTTTTAACATGAACATTACCTCCGCTGTTTC